AGCAAATAAAGTTTCCCCATATAACTCAATCTAATATCGAGCTATTTATTGCATACATCATTTTATATATTAATCAGAAATATTTCAGACTTCGAAGAATGTCATTGACACATAATAACATTTCATGTAAAAAATGTTTTCAATTTTTCTATTAATAAATTTTTTTGTGATTACAATAAATTCATCGAGAGATTTTTTTATAATGGAATCAGAATTTCAGCACCAATATTTTGGTATAATTAAGATTAAAAATAATATCCATATGCAAATCATAAAATCTGTTATATAAGGTATGCAGAAATTAAATAATCAATAGATATAAGTACTTACCGCACCTGTTGGGAAAAAAGGTAAAACCTCTATCAAATACTATGCAACTACAAAAAGCCGTCTAAAATAAACTAAGCGCATGGAATTTTCAATTTAAATAAGCATTCTAATTTATTACAAATTTCTTCTTCTTTCTTTTGCAGCTTTTGATAAATGCAAAAAGCAGAAATATTCGTTTAACACACAAAATAAAATAAGCAATAAAATTTGGATTTTTCACTAATTTATTACATTTTTTTTTTCTTTGCTGGACTTGCGCTAATAACTGAGCTGGAAAATGAAAAAGAAGAGAAAGAAGGAAAACAGAATAAAATAATATAAAATGCAATACAATGAAAAAACAATTACAAACTAAATAAAAAATTAAGCAAAATACAACAAAAGCATTCGCATTAGGCGTATTACAGCGTTATTAAAGCATAAAAAATAGATTGCATCAAAATTAAATAAAAATAAAACTAATCGGAATGCAAATTAAATTCCAAAAAACAAACAAATTCAAATAAATCATGTAAAAAACTATTGCGTAATTTTGCATTTGTTGTGGCCGAAAATTGTTGTTGTTGTTGTTGTTGGAGTTTTTGGTTTTTTGTTTGTTTTGTGTAGCATGGTTTTGTCTCGCTCTCTCATTAGCTCATTTACATTGCGATAGATGCGTTAGATTTATAAGCCAAGCATGTCATAGAAAAAAGAAACTAAATTAGTAAAAAATTTGTTGTCGATCAATTGTGAAGTACAAAAATTGCTTAGATAATAAAATTTGTAAAAATTAACACTAAATAGTGAAATATAAATCTATAAAGCATAATCTTCGAGGTGCCCGAAGCTCTAATACCCTTGCAGAATACCCAAAAACAGTTTATAATTTTGTCACTCACTCACTTTTCATAGTTCTCTATTCCCCATTCTATCCGCTGGATCATGTGGATCATGTGAATTGTATTCGTCACTATTTTTGCAGCTCACTCACTCGCACTCACATATTGACTACACTATTTTATTTTAAGTATAAACTGGTAAAATACAATCGAAATTAACCGCGTTAATATTATTATTCTCAATCGAGCACATTTTGTCAGCAAAGCACACACGTAATGTAGCTCTCGCACTCACACCGCTTAAGCGACTGACGCGATGTTAAAAGGCGCTCAACTTCGTACGTCTTCGACTTGAGTGCAATTCCCACACGAGTGCAGTTTATCGTCTTCTATTATCCACTGGAAGTACGCTCATTTAAACCGAGATCAAAAATAAGAGCGTAAATGACTCTTATGCTAAATCTCTCACTCACACAACAGCAAGCGCCCGTTTGCCACTCACACACGTACATTATCCATTTGTTTTGCTCAAGTGTGCAAATATGCAGAGCAAGATCAAAACACACAAAGAACGTGAGTGTGTGAGCGAGCTGTCTTGATGCTCTCAATGGCCACTCAACGCTGTAGCTCACCCGCTCACTCTAGTATATCGGGCTACTATTTATTCTGCAGATGAAATGCCCTATCTCTCTCTCTCTCTCTTACACTCAACAGCCATTCGGGCAATGTCTATAAATACGTGCAGGCAGTGCTGAGATCCCATATTAATACATACACACGTACATATTGATTGCTACGGATTGACTGAAGAGAAGTAATTCGCTTTGCTATTGAACACACAAACACAAATTGAATAGTGTGCACTCTGCAAGGGTATATAAAATGTAAAAAAAATGGTTACGCTCAGCTAAAGGCGTTCAACTAATTAAAAAGCGTTGCCTACGAATACTTAAAAAAACGGTCAGCATAAAAAATATTATTATTAATCTATTACAAAGGACATAAATATTTGAAAAATTTGCTTGCATATTTGATTTTGCTTAATTCTGCGTATTTCATTGTTTTGCCGCCCAACAATGGTCGAAAAATAGTAAAAATGACATGTGTATGTATGTATACATAAATATAAAAACAATTTTTTTTTCAGTTTAATAAATATTAATATGCGCCGAAGGCATTTCAATTGAATAAAAATTTAATATTAAATGGGGAAAAAATTGCAAATTGAATTTTGTATAGAATAAAAAGTGATTTGCAATTCGTTGTATGTATATGGCAATATTATTAAAATTTAGATAAATGTATAAAAAGTGGGTAATTGTCAAATTCCATAAATAATTATGAAATCAACCATTAAGAACCAATTGTCATGGTAATGATGGTATAAACATAATATAAATTATATTTTAAGAACTTGATTTCAAATGCGTAAAAATACTTATAAAACGTTAATAGAATATATGCAAATTTAATAAAAAAGGTATGTATATATGTATATATAACTGTCATGTTGCACATATAGATACATATGCACAATATTATAAAAGTAAAGGCTGTATAAGAATGGGGAAAAAATGAACACAATATAAGAGATCATATTTGTCGACGAATGAAACTTTTTATACATACAGAAAGCTGCTGCAAAGCTCTTATAATTTCATATGATCTGCTATCTTACTCTATCCTCATACATTTAAAGTGGAGACTTTTAACTCTCATAAAATATTGCTTATGCCTGCCTCATTCCCTCTCTTTTAGTTATCTATAGCGTATATTTGAAATCTTTACTCACCAGATTATCGAAGCGCAGAGCATCCTCGTCGCTCAAGCCCATGCTACGAGTTAGCTGTAAATATGTGGATGTTATTGGCTTGAGTCGCTCCAGATCGAGTGGCGGCAATGGCTGCTGCGTCGAACCGCTGCCGGCGCCGATGCCACCGCCTCCGCCGCCGCGCAGCAGCACCTGCGGTATGCGCAGATCAGCTGACAGCGGCAGAGGCAGTGGCAGCGGCAGCGTCTTTGGCGGACTGGGCAGCTCCAGCTTGAGCGGTGCAGCAGAAAGGGGCGTGGATGTGGTCGGGGGCTGGCCGTTGCTGGAGCTGGAAAATAAAGATTTCGTTAGATTTATGGGTGTATGAGGAGCTGTTGACGCTGCTCCAGCTGAGGCGGTGGGCGTGGCCGTGGGTGAGCGTGCACAAGACGCAGCCGCCTGGGGAGGGGAGGAGCCACCGCCAGCCGGCGTCGCCTTGCTGTTGCTGGCTGCAGTGGTGCTAGTAGTGGTAGTGACGGTGGTGCTGCTACTGCTGCTGCTACTGGTGGTGGTGGCTGGTGCTGTCGGAGGATAGCTGAGACTCTGCAGCAGGCTGCTGCCGTAGAGGGGCGGCGCTAAGACCGGTTGAGGCAGCAGCGAGCCGCCAGCATAGAACCGTCTCATGAAATCGTAATAGCGGACAAGATTATCTCGGGACTTGAGCAGCTGCAAGTCGAGGCCGGGCAGCTGTGCGGCTGACTGTGGTGGAGCCTGTGGCTCCACGGGCGGACTTAACGGACGCTGCAACTGGGGCTTGACTCGTATCTTGGGCACGTCCACCTCAACGGACGCCGCGGCAGCCGCCTCAGCGAGCGGCGCAGCGTTGGGACTTGTTGGTGGCGGTGGTGCAATGGCATCCAAGTGGCTGGCACTGGCGCTGCTAGCCGCCGCACCACCGGCGGTGGCAGCCGCCAGCGCTGCATGTGCCTTGAGCTCGGCGCTCGAGTGACGCCGACGCTTGGCCGTGGGCCCCGCCTCCAGAGAGCTCTCAGTGTGCGAGGAGTAGTTCAGATAGGTTTCCACCTCCGAGGAGCTCTCGTTGCCAGCCAGATCGTCCTTGGAGGCGGCCGAGGGCGAAGAGGGGCGCAGATTCTTCTTGCACTCGGGGCAGATGGTCAGGAATCGAGTGACTGCCTCGCGGGGCAGAAATGCATATGTTTCGGTTATCTGAAGGAGAGGGGAAAGGGGATT